CTGGGGCTAATGTCTTCTCTGGGACCTGTTTTATAAAAGAGACTCAGGAAGGTTGAAAAAGCAATCTTGACGCTTCTTCATATTCAAGATATTTGCATTCAACTATGTTCGCCCTATTTTCCTATCCCTATATCAAGGCTCCAAATAGAGGTGCACTGAAATGCCACTGATTAAGAGCTTAGTTTATAAATAGATTAGATGCCTACGACTAGATAATGTGAATTATGTCCCCACGTTCCATTAACACCCATGCATGGGATTTCTTGGGCAAGTAGCTTTACTGCTGAGCACACTGTTTGGCTAAGTCACCAGACAGACACATTAACTATTTCTACAGGACTCTACACTTCCTAGAGAGAAATATTATTGAAAGCCCAGCATCAGTCAAAGAAATACTTTCATTATAAGATGGATATGAAGTGCATTGAAATGGCACATGCATATCAGACTTCTGTGCCTTCTATGTGACATTGTTAGTTCCAAATCTTTAAATCCAGAGCACTTAGATCTGGGTCAAATCACAAGATAAAAAGAATTTGTTTGTCATTGTTCTGAGAATAAAATCTTCATGAGATTTCAGATGGAGTTTTGGACTGTTTCTAAAATTTCTTTTTCATTCAAACGTGAAAAATGTTTGTATAAAATAGCTTAATTGCTGTCAAGAAAGAAAACTGGTACATACCGTACTGTTCAGGCCCAGCCTATAGCTACTTGGATAGAAATACATTGATAAGGATCTAACATAAACCCACTTAGTCACTGACTGACACTGAATTCAAGTAATACACACACACAGAACTAGGAGTTTAGACACTTAACATGACTGGTTTTGCTCAGGAAGGTACTGTGAAGGTAAGGGCATGGATATCTAGATAGATAGGACACATCATACCGTGCTAAGAAAATAAGAAAAGCATTTGCAGAAGGAAAGAATTGCTGTTAATTTTTAAATCAGCTAAGAAAATTCAGCTTTGCTTTTTTTCTCTCTCGAGCTGAGACCCATCTTCTCCCTGACAGTACAGAGTGAGGTAGAGCTGGAGTCATCCTTTGAGGTATCAGAGGCCACAGTGGTGTTGACACCACCACCTCATGCCAGGGAGAAGACTGTGCAGCTGGAGGGATCCTGCTGGATCCATGGCTTTGCTAGAGGCAAATCTTTTCCAGCTGTATAGGATGGCCTTTCTAGGTGAGATTCCCTTTTTTCATGCAAGTCAGCTAATCTGAAAAGATACCATGAAAACAGGTGGCAAAGAATAATCTCCAGCATGACCTGTTGTATATTTCCTCTTCATGATGACTTTTTTCATGCTTTCTCCTAGTCCTTAATTAATTTGTATTTATACTGGCACTACAATATCTTCTGCCTCTCATCCTATGATCACTTATCTCTTGCCAGTAGAATAAGACCCTGTTTCTAGTTTCTCCCCTTCACCTGAAAAATATGTTCCGCCTCGATTCTTTTGTGTAGTATCTCACAGATGCATAAGCATGTCTCATAGGTCCTAACACACACAGGTTTCACTTCCCTAGGCTCTGTGTAGTCTATGTTTTTGGGGGATGTAACACACAGGACTGTCAAGTAGCATGTGTGCTTATCCTTTGAAGACAAGGGGAAAATCTCAGTCTAGTTTGGTCATAAACATGCCTGCTGTGAAACTGCTAGATGGAGAGCAGGGCATAAATGGTCAGTGGAGTCTTCATCTTGTCCAGCATTTATAATACTGTAACAAAGGTGACTAATTGCCTTCGTCAACCTCACGATTCATAAGCATCATTTGGATTTTCCCTACTGTGCTCCATCAGTGCTCACCATTTTCTTGGGAACTCAGTGGAGATCACTGCATAGGGCCCCATGACTTCAGTCTATACGGGTCTTCCCCAGAATAGGGCACGGCAGCTGGTCATGCCCCTCTGTTTTAACATACAGATTCCTTGACTTGCACAGTTTTAGCTTAATTTAGCACCTTCTGGCCCTATCTTGCTCCATTTCCTTGGTTGCTGTAGTTCAGCAATTGCCCTTCTTATTTACCCCCAAAGCAGTTCTTATTACCCAACCGTGCCTTGGCCAATACCTCTTACAGATGTTTTATTGCTCTGCAGGCTGCAAGTGAGAGACAGATAACTGCAGATCTGAAACATGCTGGAGGGATCTAGTCCCAGGCTAAAGAGAAGTCAGAGAAATATGAAAAAGCATAGGAACTGCTTCTTACAGGAGTAATCTGTAAGAAGCGGACAGAGAGAATTTGATTGAGACTTTCCTGACATTTTTAGGATGCTAATCTTTTGACACAATTCTCACGCCAATTTAATCTGGTTTAGTATGGTTGTGAGTTGGAAACCGACTTACCTGGTGGTATGAGAATTCTTACCAAACCGCCTAATCTCCAAAAGTAAATCACTGCTTCCTGGAACAACCACATCATTAACACATGGCCACAAAGGTGCCTGGGGAGTGTTTGGGAAGATCTCGGTAGCCAGTCCGGAACAGTGCTGTGATCTGGATGTACTTATCCGGATGTCTGGATGTACCCTGTGAAATGAAAATACTCAGTAAATCACCTCCTTGGCATTGATCTGGAAGTTCAGGAAGAAAGATCAAATTGCACAGCACACACCTTTGCTATAGAGCAGAACTCATTTAGTATAAATTCTGAAACTGCATTGGGCTGGAACAGACAACCGCAATGAAAATGGACCTTCAAGTGAGTCTCACTTGGATGCTGCTGTTAAGTGCTACTCTTCTATCTGAACCAGGTACTGTGTCTAAAACCTTTTCATGCTCGCAGGGAAATGTTACAGGCAGAATTAATTACTAATACAGACTGGCTTGCTGGGAAGTGGTGGCAAAGAGTTTCCTAGAATATTGCTGACAAGCTTTGTACTGTAAAATCAATGGTTTAATTTGTCTTCTAACTCGCAGATTCAGACCAAATCCATAGGTTATATTTCAAAATATAACCTGTGAAGATTGTGGGCTGAAGAAGGCTGAAGAATATTTTTTTTATTTCTTTTCTGTGAGGGGAATGGTTTGGGGAAGTTGTTCTCTAAATGTTCTTCTTCAAATATTCTAGTTTTGAACTTAAAGTCTTCTATACTGTGCATTTAAAACTGTAGAGAAAGACAGAAAAAGAAACACAGAGCAGCCTACCAGACTCAAGTGAAAATATACTTTACTGCAGTGCCATGTTCCTTCAAACTTCAAACAACGCCAAACCTTCCTTATAATCTTGCTAGTTTGAATGAGATACTTTGATCTTTAATTACCAGCATGGGCACCATGAATAAAGTCTTGTCAATCCCTTACAAAAAGAGATAATTTCATAGAGTGTAGATTAAGAGGTTGGCTACATTAAATTATTTATAAGAGAAGCGCAAAGGCAGCCCAGAGGGAAGTTCAGCATCAAAGAGGAATAAGCTGCCTTTCAAGAAAGTGGTCAAATCCCAGCACTTCAGCAACCCTATAATCTTTGTTCTTATTCAATAGGTTCACTTTTGTCTTTGGTTTGACTTGATGTAGACTGGATTAACTTTGACTGGAAAAATCACTTAGGATCCTGTCTTGCAAACCCAAGACTTTAGTATCACTAAAGTAAAAGTCTGTGAAAGTGAGTGTCTGAAGATCAAATGCCAATTTGAAAAAAAGAAAAAAAAATCCCCAAATGAAATTTTTCCTGGTTTTAGTGATTGAATCAGGCACAGCTCTTCACAGCATGCTAATTCTGAAAGACCAAGGATATTATTTTTAAAAGCTGCCATTTGAAAACATTGCTTTGACCCCTGACAGCCTAAATCCTTTTTCCTTTCAGTGAATATAAGTAGATTTTCAAAGATGTGACTAAAACTACAGATTATCAAAACCACACAATCAGACCACAGGTTTGTACCCTGTTTTGGAAGACCATTTCACCCCCTGGTATCTGAACCATGACGCCGTGGTCTGGTTTAATCAAACACACATTTTTAAATACCTTAAGCAGTATATAGTATATTCTTCACTGCAGAGTTAGACAAAGTTGGGCTTCCTATGCAGACCTGAGCAGGCATTTGCAAAGATTTAAGCTAACATGCTGGGCTATCAGCCAAAACAACTGTCATAGTGTGCACATACAAATGGTCCACAGCCTCCCCTGCTATTGTGGTAATCACACATGGCAAAGGTAAGTAACCCTTTCTACTGTCACAGTGAAATTTGGCAGAGCTCAGATCCCAGAAGCCCATGTCTTCACTGGAGGTGAAGGATGTACACGAGGATTTCTGGGGTCAGATCCCTTTGCTCTTTCTGCTGCCATGAAATAAGGTCGTCTAAAGTCATCTCCCGCTGAACTATGAGCATGTCCTTCCAGACATAGGGAGGAACCGCAGGATTGTTTTGATAACACACCACATACCAACACTTACTGTATCTAACTCTGTATCAACACATACTGGGTACCATCTCACAGCAAAACATAAAATATACCTGGAATTGTGGTATGTTACGCCAATGCTAATATGGTTTCTTATCTGCCACAGCAAGTGGTATGTGGTGGAACTCACCAGGTGGCTCAGAAACTGGAGGTCAAAACTCACCATGGAAGACATTTGCAGAATGGATAAAAGACAAATTTAAACCCAAAGGTAAGAGGGTGAGACATGCTCCTGAGTGTGAACATACCGGGCACACCTGCAGAGTTACATGAGCCAGCTCTGGGCGAGCTGGTTATCTCACCAGCACAGCCAATGACAACCTACCGTGATAGATCAGGTCATGTACACAGCAGAGCCATGTGAACCGGGCTGAATTAATTGCACTGATTTGGGCTCTGCTGTTCAGCTCCCTGCCCTGCACTGCTTTGCACACTGCAGGTGTCCCCCAGTAAGCCCTGGGTACTGGGGACACAGAAATGCTGGGCAGCCCGTCCCTGCACGGATGGGGATGCAAGCTTGGATGTAAAAAGTTTAGATATCCTGGGAATAAAGAAATTGAGATGTTTACCTGTCAATTTTTGCTTTAGTTTCAGAAGTTCCCCAACTGCGACTGGTATCTGGAGGGGACCGATGCGCTGGGAGGGTTGAAGTTTACCACGAAGGCAAATGGGGAACAGTCTGTGATGATCACTTCGATATGAACAGTGGCAGTGTTGTGTGCAGACAACTTGATTGTGGTCAAGTTGTTTCTGTCTTGGGATGGTCTTACTTTGGCCCCGGCACAGAAGACATCCACCTGGATGACGTGCAGTGTAGAGGAACTGAATCTTACCTTTGGGACTGCCAGCACGCCAGCTGGAGCACACATAACTGTGAGCACAATGAGGATGTCGGCGTCATCTGTTCAGGTAAAAAAAAAAATATGTGCTCTTAAAAATCTCTTTGGATTTTCCAAAATCAGAGTAGAGCTTGGAAATCAGACTAGAGCTGAACTGTGTGGATGTGGAGGCTTCTTGTGTTTAGGCTGGTCTGCATGATCAAGGAACAAAAGGATGTCCTGGACAAAATATCACGATTGGTAGCAGCAAGCACTGAGTGCAAAAATGGTGAAAAGAAGGTAGTTCAGGACCACTTTAGTCAACATCTGATTACAGGCCGTTCCCAAGATAATAAAGGCAACCAGTTAAGAGGAGATAGAAGCCCATCCAGATGTGAAGCAGGCATGTCTGAATTGAAAATAAAAAGTAGCACTCTTGTCATAAACGTAACTGAAATCAAAGATTGCATAGCTAGAAGCAGCCTATTTTGAAGCAATATAAATAACTGCAGAATAAAAGTAATTTTTTGCTTTTTTTCCATCACAGGTGTGGCATACTCCAGGGTTGCACTGATAGGTAAAGAAGGGCTTTTGAGACATAAGTCCATTAGCTCTTCACAGTCTCCCCAAATGCTCAGAGACTAATTTTTAACTCAAAAATCATGTGATTACATCTCTTTGACAGACAGTATTCTAGAAAGGTACATGCTCCGCGTTACTAGTTATTGCTCCAAATTACTATTCATCCACTGTAACATTATTTCTGTTCTTTGGATTGCTCATAGGAACTGTATTTGCCACGCATCTACTACTAATTAGGGAAAACATAAGGCAAGTCTTAACACTCCAGGTCTAAGTTTCTGTGTCCTGTTTTTGTCACTGTTCCTGAAATAATCATAGCACCCTGGAAACCTTAAAGCACGGATGTTACTCATGTTCCCCGGGGTTTTTAAGTGTTAAGTTAATTGCTAATGCTCTTCAAAATACACAGCCACAGAGGAGTGGGCGCTAAAACGTAGTTTTTGATCATATGTAGCCCAGAAGTGAAAGAGTGGTTTCCAAAATAATTTCTTCTCAAGGCTTGAACCTGCAACACCACATTGTAGTAGTCCTGAACTGTTGCTGCATACTCCGCGCATCTATTTCTGCACTGATAGCACCACTGGCAAATATCTTTGAAATTCATTCAGAACTGCCATTAATCGACAGAAAAGTCACTCACACCACCAGAAGTTAAAGTCTGATGCATTAACCCAGTGCTGCGCGAAATGGGACGTTTAAATTATTTCACCAGTGTCTCAGTTCTCGTGACCATTCTTACAGTTCTCTAATAATTTATTTCCTTTAACTTTCAGAATCCTCAACGAAGCCCCAAACTTCCACTTCTGCGTCAACATTTTCCACAGACAGAACTGTTGTGACATCTACCACAGAACCCCTGACTTCTGCTGGCAAAGGCAAGGGAAAAAAACAAACCGCAAATGTCATGTGCGGAAATTTTGAGTAATACATGCAATTTGTTTAGAGCAGACAGGAGGAACACTGGGAATTCTGTAAAAACATTTAATAACTCTGCATGTAACTAGCCTTGGAAGAGCCAATGGCCAACAGCATCTTCATTTTCACAGGAAAATGTGGTTGGAGGGAAAATGGGCATGTGATTAAGTCTACCTGTATATACAGTTATCAAGACTGCATGTATGTATGGTGAGATCTTTACAATTGGTTCATCTGAGGCACTTTTACCTGGATATTTTCTTCACCTTCAATTCTTTTAGTAATCTTGCTTATTTTTTCCTGCTTCTTAAGTTAGTGCAAAGGTAGAATGGAAATAAGATGTGTTTATACTCTGCTGAGAGGTGCACCAGTTGCATCAGTCTCCCACGTTCACTTATAATTACTGATGGGCAGATGTTCTTCTGAGCCACATTACCAAAAGTTAAAGTCCGAGGAACTGACTTTCTTTTCCATGAAGCCTGAAGTATTAATGATTTCACATATCCTTGAAATGTCTTTTCTTTTACATGGTAGTGTTTCTATTTAATAACATATTTCCCCACCCCTGGCCACCTCCACAGATTCCTCCTCTGCACCCAGCACAAGCCCAGCAAGGACTGAGACACCGTCTGCTCCAGGGACCTTGACAGCCCTCACAGAAGGTGAGGCACACTTGCATGCTGAAAGTCACTTCCAAAGCACAAGACAAATCTCGTTCTTTATTTCCCCTAGCAATGGCCACTTTGCATCTTTCCAAATGACTACTGCATCTCTAATAGTAAAAGGATGCAGTCATAAATATCTATCTACTATCTTTATTATTAAATATTAAATGAAGGTGAAAGTCTTTTTTCGGCAAAAATAAAGGGCTATGCATTGACTCACTGTCCTGCAAAGCCCATATCTACTTACTTTCATCAAGATTTCAGTTCACGTGTTCATTCTCAATTGCTGCCAATCTCTCCTTTTTATTTCCTCAACTTTCTCTTGGCCTCAGTTATGCCTTCTGCATCCACTATTGTCACGGAGGAAAATGCCAGATCAGCTCCGGAAATCCCAGCCACAGTTTGTAAAGGTAAGAACAGCCATTTTTATTCTGTTTATTTGGGTTTTTCAGCTGGATTAAGATGTGACGATGTAAATCTGTAAAATATTCATAGCAGAAAACTACAAATTAAACATTTCTGTGAAGGAAAAATCCCCTTACAACATCTTCACTTTAAAAATATCAGGCTGTCAGGACATATCAGGAATATGCATTTAATGATTAACACCTCTGAGCTTGTAGCTATAAATACTACGCTTAAAATTTTGCAAAGCAAAAGTGTCCAGATCATTGTGATTTTGTGTGTCCTAGATTAATAAAAACTCCAGAAGCATTAAGGAGCACAGCCAGGCATTTGCGCTCATCTCCCTCGGTTGGACCTCTGCCTCTTGTTATGTAGCAGACTGATAACACAGTTTTTTATCAAGCTTGCGACCTAAAGCAAGTCACAAGCTCCTCAAATCACACTTGTGCTTTTAATTGCTACTCACAACTATTTAATTTTTCATCCTTATAGCCTGCTGTGGTAGCACAGGTGCCTCCCTTGCTTCCACCGCCATCACAGAGGAAAGCAGGACATCAGAAATCCTGACTACGCTGCAGACAGGTAAAGGGCATTTGCACAACATGCAGCACGTTAGAAAAACGTGGCTATAAGTTTTGGTTAGGAGGGGACATCAGTGGAGATGCCAAGAAATGTTGCAAAATCGCCATCTCTCAGTGCAGCTAATGCTTGTCTATGAATTTCCTCTGCTTGGTGCCAACCTGCTGGCTTGCTGGCAGCACGGGCAGGCTATCACTAACACTACCACTACTCCAGCCGGGAGCTGCAGATGCTATAGGCAATGCCTACTTCAAGGGAAAGCTGAACAGTGCAGAATTCAAATCACAGAATCTGAAGGAAATGATTATTTTTATTCCTTTAAGAAGCATAACTTGGGAAAAAGCCACCCAGTCTATGTTTGTCACCCTCTGTAACATTACCTATCTGGATTCTAAACAATTTATAAGCCTCCAGACTTGGGCTTTCTTATCAAGTCAGTCCAGGATAAATGCCAGGCCCTGCACTCCCTTTTGAGGATTTCTCAGCTCAGATTCAGCCTCTCCCAACCTGTGGCCCAAGACGTTGCAGGCTGAGCCCAGAGAGCTGGGGACGAGAGAGCTGGCTCTCCCTCCGGCCTCCCTCCCCTCTTCGGCGCAGCTCCCACATGCTAATGGTGATGCTCCATAGGGCAAGGAGATCCAGTGGAGAATGGCAGGAAAAACAGATGCTGTATTTCAGTGCCAGTCCTGATGGCTTCTCCCTCCTTTCTCCAATGACTACTGTCCCTCTGGGAGAAAGACTTGCAGTCAGATAAGCCAAGAATAGCTGTAATAAACATTTCCCTCTATACAGCCAGAATACCCTTAGTTATTTCACGTTTTGAACTTCTTAACAAAGTTAACAAAGCATGCCCCGTTGCAGTGTTGGGAAACTATATACCAATAAATGTTACTGCCAAATTACAACACTCATTTCTGGTTTTGCTCCTCACACTCCTTTTGCTTTTATCACTCTTGGTGAGAGAAGTCTGAAACTTTGTTGATGCTTGTAATGCAAAACATTAACATGAAGATCCATTTCTGAGCCATGTCAGTGGATGCGGACAGGCTCCCTTTTCCACAAAGCCTGAAGGCAACTAATTCCTCAAGAACTTATTTCAGTCATTCAGCCTTACCTGAATGTTCTCTCCCTCTCATTTCCATAGTTCTTCCTCCTTCTCACAGCCTCTGAAAGCACTGAAGAATCATCCATTTCACCCACCCCACTTACAGGAGATGGTGGTACCTCAGCTCCAGAAATCCCTTCCACAGATGCTGAAGATAAGAACAGACCCTATGCCATAAAACCTAATAATAATAGTGCTTAAGTTTGTTTAAAATAGATTACATTGGTAGGATTACAAGAACTATACAAAGTTTAACATCAGTCAACTGCTAATTAATCATCTCACTGAAGAAAGAATCCAGCTTCTAAAGCCTTCATTTCTAAAATAGTGGCCTGTCAGAGTTTGGGAGATATGTAATTACGAACAATTTGGGGCTTTAAGCTGCTCGTATTTTTTGCATAGTTTAGGCATCAACAGAAGTGCCCAAATATCAGTGCTTTTGTCTGGGCAACAGTGGATATTTTACAGTGGAGAGCATCAATGATTAAATCAGATTGTGACATCTTCACCGTAAAGATTCAATAATCTTTGACAGTTCTTTCCCAGTCCTAAAGATGGAGATGCACCACCTGACACAGCACAGAAGCTGGTTCTCTATACTTTCCCACTCATCCCTGTTGGACTCTCTCACCAGGGAGATCGATGTTTCTCCCCAGTAATGTATTTCCTCAACTCTTTCACAGTTCCTTCAACACTCCTGTATTCCTCCTTTGCATTCACTTCAACAAATGAAGAGACTGAGGCGGTATCTACACCAGGAATCCTAAGCACAGCTTACAAAGACAAAGTTATAGTTGCAGAATCAATTTTGAGTCTAAGCAAGCTAAGGGAAAGCCATACTCTATGGAAAATGTATGCGATGAAGTTTTAATAAAGAGGGCTAAGAACACATTGCTTCGTTCTCCAGTAGCTAAGAAGCTTAAAAATCCACATTTTAAGTATTTATTTATCATGGTATTACATGGTGAAAGAGACTCAGGTAGAAGTACAAGGGATAAGTCCATGTTTGTTCTCTGAAACAAAGCTTCCTGTATTTTCACACTTTTCTAGCAAAACGACAAATCCAGATCAATTTAACGAGAAATTTAATTCTGGTACATATTCGTGTTTGGTCATTATTGTTCATTGTTCTTGTTGTTTTTTTCCTCAAAGCTTCAACAGGTTATTCTGTCACAGAAACGGATGACTTGATCACATCTCCCCCAGTCACAGACAGTACTGAGCCATTAACAACTCCAGCATCACTATCTACACTGAGAGGAGGTAAGAAACAGTCAGATACAACCTGCGTGCCTTGCGTTGTTTAGGAGCAAAAATGTCGCTGTCCTGCATCACCACACAAGGCACCATTTGGGGCTCAGAAAATCCCTGAGCCACAAACAGGTGACAGCTAGGAGATGAACCTTACCTCCTGCATTTGTCCTGTTTGCATACTCCTCCTCAGCACCTCTTAGTTGTCCCCGTTGGCAAAATTAACTTATCCAGAGCTTTGGTCCGCCCCTTCTTCAGCGCTGATCATGTTGCAATGTGTGTGCATATGCTCCACCTTTTCCCCATTTTCTTTGCTGGGGCAACTCTTATTCTGGCATCTATTTTGCAAGGTTTTAATGAATGAGCTGGTTTAAGGAATCTATGAAATAATTTCTTAGGTATTAAAAAATCTTAAAACCAGAATTTCACCAGACAGGGCCACTTTGCATTAGCCATCAGCTGAGCTGGGACCTTCTTATCCACCACATGCTGTCCCACCTCCTCTTCTAAGGAAGCAGAAACTGATAGCACCAGTAGGCTTTAAACTCCTATGCAAATCTCCACCAGGGGAGATGACTACGTGTACTTTGCCTCTGAACTTGACAGATATTTTCAAGATACACAAAAAATGTGTTGGACACTGTATTCAAAGTTCTTTTATCGATAAACATTTTCCATAGTGCCTATAGTTGCTCTTTTAACTCTCTGTAGACTCCAAGGAGCAGAGGAACTGCTGGCCATCCACTTTAGAGCCCTCTTCAGAATAGTGAAAGACACTGCCCACATAAACTAAATTCAGCTCTTTAAACCTTTCCTCAGAGCTCATGGTTTTCAAGCCTATTATATTCTTGATTCATTCATCCAAGCTCTCCCCATGATCTCTATCTTTCTTAAACGCGCAATCACCAACTGAGCAGCTGAGGTCTCCAGCACCAAGGAGGGTAAGTAGCTCCCGTGTAGCGCTCTGCAAGCAAGGCTGAGACCAGACTGGCTCACTGCAACGTTAACGTTAACAACTTCCAGTTTTTCCATGGTCCTTCTGTGCCAGCTGAAAGGATGATTTTGCCTTTGTGCATTGGTTTTCTCTTTCCAATAAGCAGCCCATTCTACCTGTCTTTATCAAATTTCAGCTTGCTAATTTTTGACATTTATTCAGTTTATGAAGATCATTTTGAATTCCATCGTGTCCTCCAGAGAGCGCACAGATCTTGCCTTTCCTTCTGCCACTCTCTGTACTGTTCCCGTTTCAGTAGCAAGGGCTGAGGATCTCATTACGGTACGGTGGCTGTGGCTGGCAGTTTAACACCCATACCATCTGTTAGTCCAAGGTGCTGCATAACGTGATAAACAATTACCAAGGCAACTGACAACTCCTCTCTTTACAACCTTTTTTTAGCACTGCTTGTCTTCTACAGCCTTGTCTATGCTCTCAGAAGTTCAGAGCTGTGACTCAATGCCAGTGGTAGCAGCGCTAGAAAGTGTAATACAGATTTGCTTACTGCTCCACCCATTCACCTAATCTCGAACAATACTTTCATGTTCAAGATCTAGGATCTATCCACCCGAATTTCTACAAATGTTGTCTTAGAAATGAACAGACAAATCTTCAGCACAGTGAAGAAGAAATTTCAGTCAGTGTTTTTCTACTTTTTTCCTGCCAGTCATTTCACTTTCGAAAGGATAGAAATGAAAACTTTCCTGCTTCGAAGAATATTTTACAGAGCTTTGATCAGATTTTGCTGCTTGCCTTACTTATTCAGACTGGGCTCTATTCCAGCTGAGTGAAGGAAGTTTGCACTTCTTTGCACACACCAGTGAAACTGAGAAATGAATGTGGTCCCTCAAGATTTACTTTTATTTGCTTGGCTTTCAGAAGTTGAACGTGCATTTCTTAAATGAGTGATCCGTTGACTATTATGCAGGCTTAAGGAACCTAATACATGGTGTATATATGGTTTCCTAAGAATTACTATGGAACTATGTGCTTGCAACTATTAAGTGCTTTGCCTGTGTCTGCTCAACCAAGTATTTGAGCAAACAATTTCATCTTATTTATGCATACTGTGTGTAACAGGGATGCTGTTCAACAGTTAAAGGGAAAAAAAGGCTCCTTTATAGCTCTGACTAGTAATCTCATTACTTGCATTTGTACATGCTGCAGGTAAACTGTTGTTTGTGATAAAGTCTCAGGAAAACTAAGTGCTCACTGATTCCTTTGATTATATTCTACACTTAACTAAGCACAAAGCATTGACTTCAAAGAGATACAAATATTGATTATTTCCTTTTATTTATTTGCTGAAAGTAAAAAGTTGCCTTTCAGTTGTCTGTAGACACTCCCACAAGAATGCATTAAAGATTCTTGGGACTGTTACTTAATCAGTCCTTTATTTTCTGAAACAGTGCCCCCCAAAATTTCAGATTGATGTTCATATTTCACATTAATGAAATACTTCATTTACTTAGAAACTCTAATAGGAAAGATGCCTCCTTCCCAATAAAGCCATTCTTAATATCAGCTGAATCACAACAAATTTATTTCTGCCTGTAATTTAAGGTAAGATCTGGATCTCAATATAGAATTTTTAATCTACCTCTTTCTCACTACTCCCAGCTGGATTTAGATAGCTAACGTAGTCCAGTTCTTAAACTTTTTATTTAACACCTTTCACCATTGCTGGTGAATATTCGACACCTGGATCAACAGCTTAATTATCTTTTGTCTCTATTATCTGTTTTTCTCCCTGAAATCATATTTGGCAGTCTTGTAGAAGTTTAGACCTAGGTCTTGGGAAGTGAGCCAGGCACATTGCTGCTGGCGTTTCTTTACAGCCAACTTTTGCAGAAGTAAATGATAAGCATGGTACTCAGATGGAAGGAGCTTTGATCATGGTCAGCAAAAAGGAATTAAGGAGAAAGAGAGTCCTAGGAAACATGGCCCTCATCCTGAATGGATGTGCATTAGTTGGTTACAAATGGCTGCCAGGTGACAGCAAAATGTCCCAAAATGAAAACCTCGTAATTACTGACCCACCAAGGAGTAAGACAGGTGTGTATACTTCGTACAGTTTATGATGGTCGCAAACTAGGAGGAACTCAATTATGTTGTCGGCGGTGTCTCTGATTTCTTTCTCTGAAAGAAAAATACACTCCAGGCCCATAAAACTAATTTGGAACTTCAGATCTCTAAAAGCCTTTCCCTCTGAAAGTGAGATAAATATGTGGAGTATTCCGTAAGTAGCCAGCTCTCAGAAATGAGCCTGGTATGTAGAAATAGCTCCGCTGCTCTTCTGGGGAAATGATGTTGTGCCAACCATCTGTTATGCCAGAGCAAGGATGGGAAAAGAAGCTGAACCAGGCATTATTTAAAGGAAGAAAAAAAAAAAAAAAAACAAAACCAAAACCCAGCCCCTTGCCTTAAAACTACAGCTCCCTTTCAAGATCCAGTTTTCTGGAGGTCTCTTTAGATCACAAGGCAGCTGCCTTCCTTCTACTATCCAACACAACTTAACACAGTCCTGAAGCTTGCCTTTCCTTACACAGAGAAGTGCAGAGGCCAAGAAATAAATATGTAGCTCTAGCCTTTTCTAGAAGCTTTGCCAGCTCCCTGAGCTCCTCTCCACTTTAAACCATCTGTAATAAAACAAATCCCAAGACCATAAACAAAAAAAAAAAAAAAACCAAACCCAAACCACAGCCCTTAGATTGCAAGGTATCCCAGGAAAAAATTGGCTCTGGGTATTTGTGTTCATCCTTTCGACAGCACTACAGTATAGATGAGAATGATGGTGAAGAAAAGGTAAAAAACCTTCCCTTTATTGCCCAAAGTGGGGAGAGGAGGCAGCTAGCTGCACGGGTGAGGATCGTTTTCCCCAGAGATCAGCACACTGTGGAAGAGGATTATGTCTGTGCCCATTGGGTATTACATGTAGAAAGACGGGTTCAAGCATTTATAATATTTATCCTACAACAGCACTGAATTTCAGGGGAGGATCCTTTGTCAGAGCAGACCACGTTGTGGGCTACCTGCTCCTGCCTTCCCTGGGGTGGTACTTGGCCTGAAAACAGGACCACCACCTCGGATCAACGCCACTGAGCCCCAACGCCGCCTCTTTCTCCGCAGCAGATACCTCGGCTCTGTCCCTGCGGCTGGCAGACGGTGACGGCCGGTGCTCGGGCCGCATTGAACTCTATCACAACGGCAGCTGGGGAACAGTCTGCGATGATGGCTGGGAGCTGGCGGACGCCGAGGTGGTGTGCAGGAAGCTGGGGTGCGGAGAAGCTCTGCTAGCTTTGCCTGAAGCCCGGTTTGGTCCAGGCTCTGGGAACATCTTCCTCGATGATGTGCAGTGCAGAGGGGATGAAGATGACCTTTGGGAGTGCTCCCACAGAGGCATCGCTGTCCATGACTGCCGACATAAAGAGGATGCCAGCGTCATTTGCACAGGTACGCTAGCACATCTCTCGTAAACTATTGCTGAGTGAGCGATGCAAGCTTGCCTGCAGCTAAGATTTTGATGCACAACTTGTTTCCATCAGTGGAATTGTTTCAGGCATGAAACCAAGACCTGTGAGAACTGCTGTGTTTTACCACATTTTTTCTTTTTGTTAACTCGTGCGGTTTATTCACACAGGTTTGTGGTTTAATTTTTTATTTTAATTCCCAAATCCTTCGGCTACCTGGTATATCATTGTCAATCTTATCTGATGCCATTTCCTACTCTATTACCTGCTTTATGCATTACTATTTGAATCATAATTTTACATCATCACTATTATATTTCAGGCCTCCTAGTCCTGATTTCCCATAAATTATGAACGATGACTAGTAAATCAAATTTCCTTTTCTTGTATTTAGTAGGAAATTATTTTTAGTATCTTCCTTCAGGATTTTTCCAAATGAATTCCCAGTTTTCCAGCAATTCTGTATTCTGACTGGAAACATGTGAGCTGTTGGAAAGCCCGAGTCACTGCCGCCTCTGTGCAGCCGGTGCCATGGCAAGTGGTGGTCCACAGACAAAGCTCATCCACGTGGTGGACGCTCGATGAGCCTGAAATGACAGCGGTGAAACATAACTGGCTGAACTGGGTTGTGGATGAGACCTGGCACAAAGAACACTGGTTTACAGCTTATCCTGGGGATACATTTCTCTGGGGAAAAATCAAAGCAAATTTTGAATAGAGTAAAGCTTTTTAGTAAAGACCTCAAGCGGAGTTAAACACGCGACCCAAGCAGACATGTGGCTCTTTGGTGAGGATGTCCCACACCTAAAACAATTAAAGATTACACCTGCAAGGTAACTACGACCATTAACACCTGCTATTTAAAAAAAGGGTTTGCAGCTTTCTCCCTTTTGGCGATGATGCTTCCAGAGACGAATGGGTTGCTCTATATCGCTACTGCTTTCTTTTTTTCCACATAGTAACTGAAGAACATTATTAAGCATCCTCTGTGGTAAAATTAGAAATTCACTTTTCTGTTTCCTTTTCTAGAGCCAGTTACTCCCCCGGTCACAACAGAGCCCGTTCCAGCTGGTGAGTTCTCCCTAGATGGGTCTTGCAAAGCTTTCACAGCTGATGTATTTTATATAGTAACTTAAGCACTGGTAGGAAGGCAAAAATTTTATCGGTAAAATTTTCAAAGTAAGTAAATGCATGTAAGAGGAGTTTCTGAGATACTTGAGGCTTATTATCTAAGAGTTTTCCTGTTAGAGAATACTGGCATCAATACAAATGGTTATGTTAGCTATGGACATATACATCAGAGCCTGAAAGAGAAAAAAAATGTTTATATTTACTCCCAGGTGTATATGGCACACTATGAGGGTAAGGACTTATGATAGCTGATGAACTGCCACAATGTGGCATGTTACAGTAAGATTAATTTCATCTTTTTGCCACTTTCTGTACAACACAACAAAGTTGGCTTTCGCTCTTTGATAAATGCACCCGGAAAGCCCATTTCTGAGGCTGCTGAGTGCCCGTGCATTTTCCTCTGCTTTTCCAAGACATGTCCCTGAGACTGGTGGACGGAGGGGACGTGTGCTCGGGACGCCTCGAAGTCTTTCACAACGGGAGCTGGGCAACCGTCTGCGATGATTCCTGGGACATGACGGACGCCACGGTTGTGTGCAGGCAGCTGGGCTGCGGGGATGCTGTCTCAGCCAAAATCAATGCCTTTTTTGGGGAAGGCAGAGGAGATATTCTCCTGGACAACGTGGCGTGCAGAGGAGATGAGTCCTCCCTGGAGCAGTGCTCTCACAGAGGGCTGGGCACACACGACTGCTACCACAAGGAAGACGCTGGTGTTATCTGTGAAGGTACTCACCTTTTCTATTTTATTTAATGTGAATTGAGTTTCCTAAGCCAAAGCCATGCATGCAAGCCGGTACGGGTGAAAGGAGGAGCTTGGTGCAAGGCTGGGACCACCATGGGAACGGGGACCCTTGGCAGTGGCCATGCAGGGAGAGGGGAGGCCGATGAGAGCCCAGAAGGATGGCCAGGGCCACCCTGGTCACAGGAGGGACCAGCCACCATGGGCTCCATACATCCTGGGGCCATCTCGTCCCTCCAACAAGGGAATCCTCTACCTGGGTCTGGGGAAGCAAAGAGGGAAGAGGGGGCTATAGGCATTTTCTTCCAGTAGGTTTTGGCAGACCAACATGGAATCTGCTTTTGGGACAAAGACTATTTGCCTAAAAGCCTCAAAGTACTTGTGCCAGACTTGAAGTTCTATAAATGTATTTTCTTCTCTTTATGAATTTGTACTCATTTGCAAAGATCTGCATCATATTTATGTGAAGTTTATTGAGGATAATGAAGAAAATTCCTACCAGCTGAGGATGTAGAAGGAAATGGTTTTGATGGAGGTTCTGGCACTAGATGAATGTGGTGTGTCTGATCCTAGACATCAGTGTAGGCTGGCAGGCCGCTGCATCTTTGTGGACTCGGCTGTTCTGCCCAAGAGAAAGTGAGATCCTACAGGGAAGTGATACCCATGCTGTGCTGTCATATTGTATTATAATGCTGTAATGACTAACAATAGCCGTGAGACCTACACATTCCTGAAGAAGTGAATAAGGCTTCTACTACCATTCTGAAGAGGCCTATATTTTCACTTTGATTTTAGTTTTGTTATTTCTTCTCGTCTCTCCTTTTTCTGGTACCATGCACTGTTCTAAGTTGCTGACAAATAATTTCAATTAACATTTGAGAAATAATTGCAATGAATCTTTGATGTGCTGTAGGTAAGCTGCAAGCCCCAGGAGAAGCATTTCAGGAGAAACCATGTTCAAACTATCAGCCTGCATTCCTAATTCACTCTGTCCTGCTCAATCCACCATAGTCTGCATGCTGCAAACCATTTCTCCTCCGATGTATCAGGAGGCTGTATTGCAGCACAAGCCACACTTGCTTAAACATTTTAGTAACTTACAGAACAAAATGTTTGTTTTCCAACTAACCTTCCCAAGCTGCACATAATTTATTTAATTTAAAAAGGATTATTTCCGGATGGCTCATCTTCCAGGCTCTGGCAGATCTTGCAGTGGTGGAGCTACTTCACTGCAAACAGCAATTCCTACTGGATTTCAGCCTGGGTGAGAAGGCAGAACAGAAATTATACCTGTCCCCATCAGGTTTGCTTCTCTGCCCCACTGTCGCCAGACGTACTCATTGCATGGGGCGGCAGTGAAAATGGCACGGCAGAAACGCCAATGGCTAGGCAGGAACACCTGCAGCCTTCTCCAAGGCTTCAGAAAGCATCGCCTCAGCCACGGGTTTGGGAAGACCCCTGACTGTGCTGCTGCTTGTCTCGCCTTATAACTGAAAGCATTAATCTGGCTTTCCTTCTTCTGATGGTTTTTATTTTCTCTCCTGACAGTCCCTCTGGAGCTCACCACACCTGAAGCAACAGGTATGGGGTACTTCAGCGTTTGTTTATTTATCTCAGGTTTAGTCAAATACAACTTATCCCACAGCAGAGTGCTGATTTCCCTGGACTTTAGCAGCGCCAAGCTGAAATTCATGCTCTTTCGGAGGTGAGAGAGCCCTTACCTCATCATTAGCCCCAAAGAATTCAAGGTGCTCAGGTGAACACGAACTCCTGGTGGGATCTGTGGACAGAGGTGTCCTGCCGCACTGAGCTCTTCTGCCTCTGTGGAGATACACACAACCTCGAGGGCAGTGGAAAGACCACAGGCTGGTTTACACAAATGCCAAATTATGGGGTAAATTGCTGTAATGTAATTGGATTGGGGATCTCGTTATACCAGGCTTAATTATATCTAAATGATAACGTTGCTTTGCTTTGTCAATCTATGCTTTGCTCACTCAGTATTGGAAAAATTACTAAAGCGTGTCTTTTATTTTCTCTTTGACAGTCCCAACTGAGGCCACAACGGCTGAACCACCAGGTATTTATTTCTGGTCACTTATTGAACTGTGGTGAGCAGAGGTACTGTCAGACCACGAAGGACAGCAGGATCGCCGGCTCACACAGCGCACCCAGACTGAGACGAGGAATTAACTGTCAGGCACCCACATTTTCAGTGTCAATTCAGGTTTTAAGGGACTACCTGCCTTCCCGGCAAGGCAACGCTGGCTGCCAGGGCTGTGCCTGTCCAGCTGCATTATTTGTTTCCCTTCCCAAGCTCAGGCTCTCGCTGTAGGGTTTTCCAGTGGTGATGCACACCATCGCTCCGGCTGTGTTACTGCAGGGTGTATGTTCACAGCCGAACGCAGCGATATGCCGGCTACGTTCAGATGTGCAGCCAAGTGCTTCCCAGTTACTCACACGGCTTCATGTGATATTGCAAGCAGCTGAGGTTGCTGCTATGGGTCTCAGGGCAAAAATGCATATTTAAAATGCAGACAATATTTAATTTCATCTTTTCTTTCTCACAGTAACAGTCTCTCCTACTCCTGAACCAGCAGATGTTACCACTTGTAAGTAATACAGTGCTACTTTGGTTCACATGCTTAGTTGTCTGCCCACGTTGTGATCATATATCAACTGACTCCCTGTCACCACTGTGTGTATAACCTCGTGGACTGAACCATTAGCTTCAGGGATAATCCCAGTCGCCTTTCACTCAGCTTCCATACAGAACGCAGGAGGGAAAGGGGCTTGGTATCAGTACAGGAGAAATACCTGCACTGGTGAAAGCACTAGGCAAGGGGCAGTCTTTAGGGCAGACATGCTACACCAACATAAATTCAGATTTGCACTTGATCATCCCACTCCAAGAAAGCCAGCCTTCCTGCTCTTCCCAAAGCTGCATCCCCATCGCTGCACAAACCGGGCCATGCTTCCCGTGGGAACAGCCAGGTTTAACGCCCGCCGAGGCAGCAGCATGGACCTCACCAAATCAGTGCAGCGCACATTATAAACCATAGCTTTATCTCATTATCCCCCAGCACCCAAACTGCTGTTTAGCAAATATCCCCCAGGTTTCCAGGGCCCTTTATGCAGCGGGTCAGAAGCCTGCTGGAGGCGATGGCAGAGGCAGCCTGCATGGGGATGTCTTTTCCTCCCACCGAGGCTGCTCACGCTCCGGGCAGACTTTGCCAATGCCTGCCCTGGGCAGCAGCAGCGTCTCCCGGGCGCTCGAATGAGACCTGCAGGTCTCCTGTGGTACCTCATGCCTGCCCGGTGCTGGGACCACGGCTAACCTGCAGTTTTGTTTTCTCTCCTGTCTCGGATCAGCCCCTGCAGAAAACACGACACCTGAAGCAGCAGGTATGTATGACTTTGGCTTTGGCGGAATTGGTCTAATGCTTGATCCTGCGAGTAAACTACTGATTCCCTCCCCATTGAAGTCCTTGCTTTGCTCATGCAATAACGGAACAGTTACTGAAGCACGGCTTTTACTTTCTCTTTGACAGTCCCAACCGAGCCCACGACGGCTGAAACACCAGGTATTTATTTCTGGTCACTTATTGAACCATGGTGACCAGTTTACTATTTTTCATGAGTCATGAACGTATTTAAAGCATGGACAATGTTTAATTTCATATTTTCCCTTCTCACAGTAACAAACTCATCCGCTCTATCAGTCTCTCCGACTCCTGAAGCAGCAGCCATTACCACTTGTAAGTAATGCAGCGTTACTCTGGTTTAACTCCTTAGCTATCTGTCAAAGTCGTGATCTGATTTTGTGTTGGCGTGGCTCCCTGTCTCCACTGCGTGCATAATCTCATGGATCTAGTAATTAACTCCAGGGATAATTCCTTTGGCTTCCATACAAATCGAGGCACTAGGGAAGGGGCAACCGCTGGGGCAGACACACTACACCAATATAAATTCAGATTTGCTCTAAATCATCTCAATCCTAGAACATCAGCCTCCCTGCACGTTCCAAAGTTGCTTCCCCACTGGAATTTGAGTCTGTGGAAATCTTTCTGACATATTCAGTGGTATCTGGTTTGAACCTTAGATAAAGTTTTCTACAATGGGATTTATCATTTGAAAAATATGAATTGCAAGTTCTGCTCATTAATTGAAAATATTCTGCCTCGGACGCTTAGATAGCAGACTAAGGTTTTCTTTTAAAGTCTGGCCCTAGCAGCTACACATTGGTAAAGAGCACTCAGCTGCAGCAATAAAACATCCATGCTTGTGTTGACAACATATAGGAAACTGAATTTCAGGCGCAAAGCATGCATTTGAGCATGGGACTATCTGCCTACACAAAGGGATAAACAGAATTAAATCTTGTTCTTGTTAATGCTAGGAATATATCACCTTTAGTGTTCAAGCCTGTAAGCTTTCCTTGATACAAGCCCTCTGTCCATGACACCTCTATTCCTCAGAACTGTTGCTACTAACATTTGCTAATCTTAATGCATTCAGCTGATTACAATGTATATTAATTTATTACATAAAAGCACACATTTTCTTTTTTTTTTTATTTCTTTTGCATTAAAAGCCCATCCAAAAACAGACCCAGCACCTATAAGCCCAGGTAAGGCATTCTCACTCTTTCTTCTTTTTAATGACTTCTCTTCCCAAGAGCAGTACAGGCTGGGTGAGAGATGCGAGCTGGGAAAGCCTGGCAGTTTCATGGCAGGGGGTATCTCAGTGCAGAAGAAAGGGGGAAGCTGGAGAGGCTGGGAGCAGGCAGAGAGCGTGGGGATGCCACGGCTCACCCAAGGACCGCACACCGCTGATACAGCGGCTGGCAACTGAACCATCCTCAGTGGGTAAGCATTAAGGGGATGAGCTGGCCTATGTCTGCACCATTTACGGAAAAAACACATTTAAAACATCTGCCCATAGCCCACCAGGCTGCTGGCCAGTCAGGGCCCGTGCGCTCTGGAG